AGAAGAAGCTGAGCTTTGAGTCTGATCAGTGCTGCTCTGGGCAGCAAAGACAAAAGCCCCCCTAGATTGCAGCACCTTTTATTCAGTCCATGGGGAAACAGATGTAACAAGTGAAATATAGAGTTTATTACTTCACATTGGGATAAACAAGGTGTAACAAAAGACTGGGGGGCAGTGGAAATCTAAGAACAATGAGGAACTAAGCAGATGAAGATTTGGTTCCTCCCTGGCCTCTCCCAAAGGTGTGGTCTTGTCCTGGAGATTACAGCGTCAGGGGATCACAGAGGTCTCAGTTGTGACCCGAGGCCAAAATGCAGTTATGTCTGGAATGTCCTAGCTGGGCTGTAGGCAGGAGAACTAGGCCTACTCAAATGATTTTTCCCTAGAATTATGTAGCTTTGCTCCCAACAAGTAAAAACCTTGTAGAAAACAAATCTTGGGCAATAAGACCAGCACAATTTTTCAAGTCACCAAAAATCTTATTATTCAGAAAAAGCTCACTGACTTTTCATTAATCTGGATGTGTGTGTATGCGTGTGTGTGCGTGTGCTAGCAAAAGAATGGGTGAGTGCCTAAAGAGCATGGTTTCACACAAATGGAATCCTAACATAGGTGCTATTTAAAACATTAACTAGGGCTGGGGATTTAGCTCAGTGGTTCCACCACCTGCTTCACAAGTGCAAGGACCTGAGTTCGATCCCTGTTACAAATAAATAAATAAATAAATAAATAAATAAATAAAACATTAACTTAAAAGTCCTTCTGTTAAACAGGAAAAAAAAAAAAGAAATTAAGTTAAGCTGCTCTTTTTAAACCAGAAGGAATATTATTTACTAAAACCTGAAAGAAAAAAAGATATAAAATCCCCCAATATGTTGAAAGCAACTTGTGTTTGTTAAAAGTAAATCCCACATAAAATACCAATTAATTCAGCAATGAGTGCTGAAAAACTGTTACTGCTTTCCTTTCTTCCTATTGTCCCATTTTTTTATTTTAGACCATTTCTTACTGTCAACATTATAACATTCACATACTCCTACCCATATTTGTTTAATTTCAGTCCTGTATTTAAATGGATTCCATGGTCACCAGGTCCTTTGCAATGGCTTTTCTTTTTTCAGAGTTCCCTTATTTTATCCATGTGCATATCTTGCATGGCTGCAATTCATCACCACTTACATTTTCAAGTATGACTCAGGTCTTCTATCTTTGAAAGGAGATGCCTCTGCTTGTTACATTTGAATGATAACTTGCCTTATTATAACATTTGGGGACTTTGCATTCTTTCACAGACATTACAACAGATTCTTTTCTAGAATGTAACACTGATGTGGAGCAGTCTCTAGTCAACCTGATATCTTCCTTGAAAAGAATTGCGTTTTCCTACCTGGATGAATGAGCAATTCCTTCTTTACCCTTGAACTAAATAATCAAGAAAAGATTCCGTGTTGAACACTAACAATTTTTCTTTGAAACTATTCAGGCAACTTTCTTCTTCCTGTGTCTTCCAAGAGTTGGAATCCTCTATTTGATGGGCTGAGTCCTCTAAGTACACCAGTTCTTGTATGTTTGATTATTTTTGTTTACCTTTCAATATTTATTCAGTTTCTCCTAAGTACTTTAATCTTGTTTTCTTCTGTGAGCATTGTGATTATTTCAAGACTGTTCTCTGTCAGAAGAACAATTTTCTGCCATGCCTGTCCTTGTCCTCAATAGAAGAGATACAAATGTGGGCCTGTACGGTATCATGCTGTCAGTCCCCTGGGCTCCTCGGGTCTTTCATACTCTTCTCCTGTTCCATTTGGCCATCCCACGTCTGAGTTCTTATTTTTTGAATTCATGTTCTTATTAAATTCTTTTATTGAATGATGTTCTGAGATATAGTTTCTTCTAGGCTGGGTGTTCACATTTTACATGCTATTTTTTTTCTTTCTTCCTCTCTTTTTGGGGGAGAAGCATGGTGTGTCTGTGCAGGCTGCCCTCTAATATAATGTCAATGAATTCTCCCTGGCTTTCTTCTCACTTTAGCTCCAAGCTAGAGGTTAAAGATGTTGTGTTGTGTACATGCTTTTTGTACCCCCATAGTCCTGGGAGTGACTGGGAATGGTCTGCTAAATTGTCAGCTTTTTTTGAAAGAACTGAGCTGTTCTCCATCTGCCAAGCTTGGTCCCATGTACCATTCCTAGGTTTATACCACTGAGGTGGAAATACCCCCTGATAGGGGATGTCCTTCTGCTACAAATAGATTCCAGGTTCACATGGAGCACAGAACCTACATTCTATAAGGAAATGTCAGCCCTGTCCTTGACATCCTCTGTTTCATTGATCATCTCTCCTTTACAGCCATTCCAATGCTTCTAATCCAAAAGAAGAACATAGGGCTGGGGATTTAGCTCAGGTCAGCAGCATAGCACCTGCCTGGTAAACTCGAGGCCCTGAGTTCAACTCCTGGTACCAAAAGAAAACAGAAAAAAAGAGGAAAATAAAGGTTACTCATGACTGGAAGCCCTGATGGTTAATGGCTGATGGGTGTGCTGTGAAAAGATGGGAGGAAGAACTTTCAAAGCACCTCCCTCCTGTATTTTCACACCTGTTCCTGGTTCCTAGAAAAGCCTGGCATATGTAACTTCTGTGGGCTGCCCTCTCAGAACTAAATCTGTTTCTTTCTCTCTGTATTAAGTAGTGACACTTTTCACAAGAATTCTTAATATTTTGCTAAGTCATCTTCTTTTCAAAGCACTGCTTGTGAGGATGTGGACAGTGTTAATAGTGAAGTACTCAGAACCAACTTCCTACTGGGTCTGGGTTTCCAAAGCGACCCTCAAGTTTGATAATTTGTTGGAAGGACTCACAGGACCTAGCATATATTCTTACTCACAGCTCACACTGATTACAGTGAAAAGATGCATAGCAAAATCAGCCACAGGAAAAGGCACACAAGGCAAAGTCTGGAAGAAACAAGAAATAAGGTCCAAGTATTGTCTCCTGGGTTGGTCCCATGGGCACAGTGTCTTAATGACTAACCACAGTCCCTGAAATTCCAGGCACCATAAAGGAAAGCAGGTATTTAGCATATACCACATTATTTACACAGGAAGCTAAACTTATTGTTTAGGGAAACTTTTATACCAATATAGGGGAAATGTTACCAGCCCAGTTCCCAGATACCAACAATGGCCAACCTCAGAAACAGGTCTTTCTAAGGACAGCAGTCTTGCGCCTGCCAAGCTTTCCTGTACACATATTTTGGTCCTACTTCTCAAAATTTGGCATATGATGTGCACATGGGTGCTGGGATCACTTAAACTTTAATGTCCCCACTATTTCCTCCACTTACTCTTCCTTACCAAAATAGTGTTGGGGGGCAGCAATGGAACAGACAAGAGGCCATGGTGGAGAAGGAGGTGGAGAGCAATGGCGCTGTCCTGGGGACTGCAGGTGGATCCTGCGTGTGGCCATGTACAGCGAGGCCTGAGCACGGTGCCAGCTTGCTGCACTCACTTGGCCTGCACAGCTGTGGTGTCCCCCTCGAGCCAAGGAGGCTGCAGTCTGAGCTGAGCTGAAGGCCACTCCCTTGCTTTTGCCCCAGCTGTGGGACGAGATCCAGCTGAGCTGCCTAGCTGACCCAGCTGCGTCCAGCATGGAGAAGCAGCCAGTGAGCACTTGAGGTAAGGTGATTTTACCACATGTGAGGAGTGGAAGATAGATGCTTGGGGAAACAGCCTTGGAGCGAAAGATTCATCAAGGACAAGATTTGGTGGCAGTGACATGCAGCAAAAGATAATCTATGCAGTTATTCCTAGAGAGAAGTTTGGTTTGATCTGGAACCGGGCTCATTCCTGTCCAGCATTTCTGTGTGCACTGCCAAGAAGGGAAGGGTATGAGTTCTTTGTAGGATAATGGACAGGCCCTGAACTCCGCTACACTGCACTTACAATATCCAGGCCCTAGAGGGATGCTATAGCTGGCCAGCTGACTTTCTATGGCTTCCCTGAATTAAGGAAGAAAGAGGCTTAGCGCTGATGACAGAGGACATGGACTCCACATTTCTGAATGTTGCTGAGGTACAGTGCATCATCGGTCAAATTCAGCTCTTCTATGCCACTGCTCATAAAGATACCCATGGCTTAGTGGAGACCTTTAACTTCAGACCACACGAGCTCAAATATATGTCTGTCATCACTGAGTTGGAGCAAAACAGACTTGGAGCAGAACCAAAATGTTTCCAGAACCAAGATAAGACTTAGAATGCAATGTAAAGGTTGGCCCTGCAGAGTCAGTTTGGCTCTGGATAGTCTAAAGCCCACCCTCTCTTTGAACTCAAGAGCTCAGTGTCTCTAATAAGCAGTCTGTAATGAGTTGTCCTGTGTGCAGATTGCAAGAAGTGATCACAGAGATGAGCCTTAAAACTTGATATTCAGGAACAAAGTTACCCAAGTATTCTTAATTACCTCTCAGAGATTTCCTTTTAGATGTTTCTGGTCAAGAGACCACCAGGAATTTCCAGGACAGTTCACTTGATTTTACACAGTGTACGCAGTGCAATTACATTCTGGCCATTTTGATCTCATGACTTCCAGCTCTATACTTCTATGAACTTGTGACAGGATAATAACTTTGAAGATCTGCTGTAGTTATATGTGGACTTTATGAAATCTTCCCATGTGCCAATCAACTGGCCAAAGGAATAACCCCTGTATCCTATTTAGACTCTAAAACAACCATACATTCCCATCAGGATAAAGACTTCACCTAGATGTCCCCAGAGTTATCTTTAGTGTAGCTGGTTTTGGGTGTCAACAAATTTCAGATAGAGTTGTATAAACAGGTACAGTCCTACATATTATTGAACTATATTTTATGGCACCTACTCCTCCAACTCTTGCCTTTTAGAAGTTGTGTGTTTGGAGGGGGTAAATCAGTGCAGTGTAAACAAAACATTTTTCTAAGAAATAAAAGAGGGCTCAGGAAAACCTACTAAGCTGTGATATGGAGGCCTTACCATTTAACTCTCTTAATTCCGTCTCCACAATGTCTCCATGTTCATTCACTCACATTGTCTTGGCCTAAAGAGAAAGACAATGAAAGCAACACAGTTGAAGTGCTTTTTTTTTTTTTGTACTGGGGATCAAACTCGGGTCCTTGCGCTTGCGAGGCAGGCTTTGTAAAGTACATTTTTAAGATTTGTAAATTCTCCAGCTCCAAATAGGTGAAATAAATTTTAGCTAAATGTAAAGCTTTTTTGAAATCTTGAACATCCTGAAATCTAAAGTTGACATGAAATTTCTAGATAGTCAGATATGCCATAATATGCATCAATATCACCTCAATGACCTCTCCACATGCTTATTAAAATTTTATTATTTGAATAGCTAATATGTTGAATCCAAGAGAAAAATTTTAAAAAGAGTTCAAATGTTCCTTTTTTAAAATCAGGAGGATATATACCATGTTTCAACACTTCCTGCTCACTTAATTGACTCAGAATATTTACATTCCATTTTCTTGTCCACAAAATAACATGAGATGTACTTATGAAAAGAAGCCTGTCCCTGTAAATCATTGTCTACATAGTTTAACAGAATCCTATCCTCAAAATGAGTGTGATAATTCTACTCTTGATACCAATATGGTATGGGGAAAGATTAATAAATCTGCCAGGTACAAGTAGAGAAAATATTTCATTTATGATATCTAAATGGTAGAGATCAAACAGACATGAATAGAGCAGATCATGCATGCCAGTATCTGAATAAGATGAAAATGTATGTATATGTACACAGGTTATACCAGCGATCTCAAATCGTAAGGTAAGATGCTAACACTGAAACAAAACTTAATGTATTTTCCATAGTAAAGAACTAGGTTTAGGCCCCTTACCACACTGTCCATGTTGCTATCTCCATAAACTACTCCACTACTCCAAACTACACCAAACAGTCTTCTGTTCGCTGTTATATGAGTCACTGGATCCCAGACACACACAGCACCAAAGACAAAAAGGCTGAATAACTGATTTTTACCAGAAAAAGGAAAAGTGGCCCGGCTTGAATATCCTCTTCCTTTTTCCTACAAATTGAAACTCCTGCCCTAAACAAGCTATTTCCAAACACGTGAGAAATGGGCAAAACAGAACAGGAATTGAAGCATCCCAAGACCTGCTTTGGTCACATAATGACACCCACAAAGTTCCCAGGACCCAGACAGTAATCAGCATGCTATGACGCCCTTGCTCCTATTAAACACATTTTCTCCTAACTAGTAGTGATAAAATGAATGTAACTACAATGGGCATCTCCCTGTTTTCCTTTGCCCTCCCTTTTTCCCCTTCCTCTTTTTACTTCTTTCTTCCAAGCTTAGACAGTCATAGAAAGTGGGTTGCTTTGGTTACCATTAAATCAATGTCACCTCATATCCTTTCACAAGTATAAAATTAATTCAGAGTGTTTCTGATGGTAGCAACTGTACCCCAGCCCTGATCAAACCTAATTACAATTTGATGCAGGGTCCCTGTCATTGTTGCCTGTAGGTAATAGAGCCTGTATTTCAGCCATCAGTGCCTGGTTAATGAATAGAAGCAATGAGAGGCCTACACATTGTCTCTGGTGACCCCTTCTGCATCCCATTGTGGACTGCATTGATCAGCACACCAAGATGGGCTATTATCCATTATTTCATCTTACAATTAGCGAGCACCTGGCACACGGGCAGTCAGGAGCTCTTTACTTTCCATTTGTATCCTTGTGAGCCCCCAACACTGACACATTATAGTACACCAATTTCCCTTCATTAAAGAAAGAAATAGTAAGGAACGGGCTGGGGAAGGTTTAAGGATTTGCTGTTACTAAGTCTCCTCTCTGTTTGCAAGAAGCAGATATTAACAAAAGCCCTGCAAATGTTAGACATGGCTTTGAAAGACCTAGACTTTTAAACATTCTCCTTTTATTTTTAAAAGGTCTTACAGACCAAGGAGTTCCCCACCAACTCCCTCATTCTGGTATGCTTCCAGATGAGCAAGACCATGAGGACTTACTCAGCATTCAGAAAAGGCAAACTGATTGTTGCATTTTGCTAAGTCCTGGCCAAGGACTTAACCTGCTTCTCTTCTGACATTACAAACCTTTATTTCCAGAACTCAGCCCACTTTAAGGAAAAAGGACTGCTTGTCTTTGGTGGCAAATATATTTCAGAGTTTTAAAAATCTTTACATGAATCAGTTATGATCATTCTTTTGTAGGGATAAAAATTGAATAAAGATTTTTTCCCAACAACAGTTAACAGGCAAGTTTTGAGCCTTCAAGACAGAGGACTTCTATTTTCCAGATGGCGCTGGGCACTATGACAACAGTTCAGAGGCTGGGGAGGAAGCTGAGTCTGAAAGTGGGGTCACAGGTTAAGGAATGCTGTGGCCTTGGGGACTTCAGATAGGATTTTGCCAGTTTGAGCCTGTAGGGCCAGCTCACCTGGAATTCTAAGAAGCCCTGAAAAAACTTTCTAGCCAGACCCACCAGACCTTCTTAAGAGGATGCACTGAATTCACAGGTCTCAAGTAGAATGGCCCATGGCTAAGGGCTGTTTCTGCACCAGAAATAGAGCCCAGCCCCCGCCCCGCAGTCCCTCACCAGCAGCTCGTATTTCTCTTTACCTCACCTCTTTCCAGCACCCAAAAAACAAGATAACCAAAACAAAACAAAAATGAATAGTTTGTCTTCCAAGAAGTGTTTGTGCTAACTCAAGTTTACAATTACGAGGATGAAAGAAGAGAAATTCTCAAGGAAGCTCAAGTTGGCCCTTGAGGATTTCCTCACATAATACAAATGTGGGTGAATCAGTTAGGCAAAGTCAAAAACTACAGATTCCACACCATTAAACTGTCATCACAGGATGTTTTTGTTTTATGCAGTACTGGGAATTTACATGCGTTAAGAGAAGCGACAGCAGTCATCAGATCTACTTCATTCACATACTCCTTACCTTCTCAACAAGGACTTCTGTTCTCTTCATGGCTGATCAGGTATCTTGGAACCAAGTCACTAATGAGGGAGAACAAGTCATGGAACCTCAGGTCAGAAATAGATCTTAAGAAACCAAGAAGCAAGGTCATTGTGCAGAACCTGGAATTGCTACTGCAATGAAGGTATATCATGTGAGAATCCCTCACATGTGAAATGGGTGTGGGGATTATTTGATAATGTAGAAAGATAGTAAATGAAAAAACTTAAGATGCAAAATTATACATATAGTGTGTGTGTGTGTGTGTGAGAACAACTGCAAGGAAATACATCAAATTGCTAATAATGACCATGACTAGGTAGTGGAATTATGAGAAATATTCATCTTCAATGTGCTACTCTTTATTTTTTGAATTTAAATTTATCCAAGGAATACAAGAATGAGTAGGTTTTACTCTCATAATCTAAAAATAAATAAACTTTTAAAATAAAGTCATAAATCTCTCAGTCCTAGACAGAAATATACCCACATCATTCCATACATAGTTGCCTTACCTACTGCTCTTTTCAGACCCAGTTAAGAAAAACTTCTAGATTTAGACAGTTGCCATTTATGTCAAACCCATGTTGTCCCTGTTGAAATTGAAACCTGTATCCTTCATGGACTCAGAGCAGCTGCTTGCTTACTTCCTGAAAGGGTTGTCCATAATGCCACTCAGGCTGCTGGTGTCTATTTAAGTCTCTTGGGAAGGAAATGCATGAACCGTCAGGAAGTGCCTGGGGAGGGGAGCTAGTGATTATTATCAACAGAAAGGAATGAGTTCTGGCTTCTGGGAGGGAGTGCTTTTGAGACTCAAGGAGAGCATTTTCCAGATAAAAGTCTATCCAACAGAGTTTTGGAAGCAATGTATGAAGACATTTGCCTAAAATTCTCAACAAATACACATTGCATGGTGGGATAGTTAAGCTCAACAGTCAACTTGATTGGCTTTGGAGCAGCCTACAGGATTTGTCAAGCACACTTCTGGATGTGTCTGGATGGGTCATAAGGTATAACCTTAGGGTCTCTATCTGATCCTTGGCTTCCTCCTTTCTGGTGCTCATCCTGACCTGCTGTGCTTCACAGCCACTGTGAGTGAGCAGTTTCCTCCACCATGCCCTGCCACTATGTTGTAGCTACCTTGGAGCAACCAACTGTGGACTGAAACTGTGAGCCAAACAAACCTCTCCTGCTTGAAGTTGTGGGTGTTAGATATTGTGTCTCAGAGGTGGGAAAACTGACCAATACACATGACAATCATCTCAATCTTATAAAGCAATCATAAAGGAATGCATCTTAAAAAAAATACAATGGCCAGGGCTGCCTTCCCTTACAGGGACTAGACAATGAAAGCTAAGGTTGTAGCTGAAGTATCTCTTTCATCTGTCATTTCTTCTTCCTTCCCATTGCCTGGACACCCCTCATTCTAATTAATCTCCTTGCTGCCCATCCTGGGGTCCTGGTTTTAACTAAAATTTCAACAAGAAGTTACTATAGTTAAAAAACAAACCAACAATCTTAGCTTCCTTATCTGTAAATAAACCTAAAAATAGATGTTCTAAAGCATTCAGAGCCTATTCCCACTTCCCAGTAGCCAAGGCTGTCCACACCCATTCAACACATCTCTCAACAACACTAACAGTCTGATTTTATTTGAGTTTATCAGGCTTCATTCCAGCATTCAGCACACAGGAAGTTAGGTAGGAAATGTTTATCTGAGGAATAGAATTGTGAGTTCTTTTGGTGATGGTAAACCCCTTGCACACTCCCCATCCCATATTTTGCAAATACAAGGAATTCAATTACATTAAACAGTTTAAGTTTTCTGGTCTTGTATCTATTATATATTCAATCACAACAAATAAAAAAGTATGGTGGTGCATCCCTATGATCCCAGCACTCTAGGAGACTGAGGCAATCACAGGTTCAAGCCCAGCCTGGGCAAGTTAGAGACATAGTGAGACTCTATCTCAAAATTTTAGAAAAAATGTATTAAAATGGCTGGGGATGTAGCTCAGTTCGAAGGCCCTGAGTTCAATCCCCACTCCCCCCAAGAAAATCCAACTAGGCAAATCCTTGATGCCCAGGCCTCAAAGATAAAGTAGTGAGTAAAATAAAGGTAGTTCCCTGTTTTCATAAAGCTTACCCTGTAATGGGAAGTGATGGAATGACTAATGATTAACTACCACGTACTTGATTTTTTAATTAGTTGTTAAAATGTTCATTTGGAGCCATGTGTGGTGGCACACATCTATAATCCCACTTACTCAGGAGGCTAAGACAGGAGGATCAAGAATTCAAGGCCAGCCCGGGCAATTTAAAGAGACCCTGTCTCAAAACAAATAAATAAATAGGACCAGAGATGTAGCTCAGAGCTCCCTGAGTTCAATCCCTAGTACTACAAATAATAATAATAATAATAACAACAACAACAATAATGTTCTTTTGGATACCAATAAGTGGTATTGTTACCAAGTAGCTTCTTCTAAAAGTGGCTTGCTAAATAAACACTGCCCACCTCTCCTTCTGGAATTAGACTCCAGGTTCTTCTCACCCCTAACAAAGATTGAACAAAATGAGCAAAAAGCTGTGGCAAAGCTTATTTGAAAAAGTATAAGTGAAAAGGGAAAGACAAACTGGCTCTGCAGAGCAAGCTTGGGTTGAGTGAAAGAGGAAACCTGCAAGAATTTCTATATACGGGTCCTGAGAGGTGCTGCCGGGATTCCACACCTCAGGCTGACATCAGATCTTGACCATCCTATCCTATTGAAAACTGCTCAAGTTCTTGTGTGAAGTCCAGGTGCATGGCTCTGGCAACTGTTCTGCACACATGTTCTGGGATCGTGTAATTAACAGATCAGACCCCAGATCACTTCCCCAGTCAGCTTTCCCACACCCTAATCTCCTGTCTCAGTATAAAGAAAATAAAAGTGAGTTATATGGTACAGAAAGGGCAGTGGTGTTGATGAGTGAAAAATCTCTGAGGAGGCAGTATTCGAACTAAACCCTAAAGGCTGAGGCCTACCGAATGCTAATTCATATTGTAGATTCTCTACATTTGCAACTTTTTAATTGAGAAAAGTATACCTAGAATAAAATGTATATACCTTAAGTTTACAATAATGAGTTTTTCTAAATGCATTTCCTGTATGAATACTCACCACTGCCAAGATATCAAACACTTGTTACCCCAGAAAGTTATTTTTTTCCAAGACTTTGGGGTTTAGCAAATAAGAAGTTTGCCTCCAAGTATCCACAGGTGTTGGTTCCAGAACTCCCTTATATGACAGGGAAAAATAACTTCCAACCTGCTAGATGTCTGATGCACCTGGCTCATGTCTCCCAAATATGGAAGAATGAATTTTGAGGAATGGGGTAAAGCGTAGGAAAGGTTTATGGAGAGAAAGCTCCTGAGAGGCAATAGGGGTTCCCAAAAGGAGTTGCTACAGACGCTCTTCATGTGATATTTTGTACAGCAAAATCACAATATTAGAAGTGATGGATCAAACCACAATCAACCAATAGGATTACAGGTATAGGCACTCAACTAATATTGTTCCTATAGAGACATAAGACATGCACCAAGGGTGCAAGGCAAGTATCATTAACATGAGTGTATCTGTAACTTCTAGCATAGAAAGAACAAGGGACAGGGACAGAAAGGAATGGGTGGTGGGTCCAAATGTTCTGGTTACCCACTGATGCCTACCTGGATTTACTGGACCAGCTGGTGCTGATTACAGTATAATCTCAAGCTGCTGTGATCTCTTAGGGAGGTTCAAAGGCCTGCCTGTTGCATTTCCATCTTGAGGCCTGGTCTCCAGCCACAGTTTTGAGATACTCTCATCTTCTACACTGACTCTCTTTAGGGCCCATCCCAGTCTGGCTGCCTATTAATTTCTATCTAACTTAGTTGTCTATAATACCTACATACTAAAATCTGTGGATGTTCAAATCTCATATATGAAATGTTGTAGCATCAGCATGGCCTCCCATACTCTTTAAATCATCCCAAGATTACTTATCTAAAGCAGTGTGTGCAGTATGTGAATTGTTACTATACTGTATTGTTTAACAAATAATGACACAAAACATTTGAGAACTTCACTAAAGTACCCTTTTTTCCAAACATTTTCTATCCCTAGTTGGTTAAATCCATGGATTCAGAAACTACAGATACAGAGGGCCAACTGTATATTTAATGTGATATTGTGAGTACCACAGAAGTTCTTATGTCTACTTCCAAGTCATTCCCCAACCAACCCTCAGAGGCACAGTTCCTGCCATGGCCCGCAACCCTAGTTTTCACAGATGTCCTATACTTCTGATACCACACAATGAACACAACAGATAGATTCCAGGCTCTTGAGTACAGCAAACAAAGAATTGCAAGTCTGCATCCAATGGTAAAAGAAAAAGCAGTTACATTTACTGAAGATAATGGGAAGGTATGCTTAGGGCAGGTACATGTCGACAGAAACAAAAGGGTGGTACAAATGGAAAAGTGGTGTTGGCACAATAGAAAAGTAAAAAGCACGCAGATAAATCAGGCTTTCAGATTTTGAAAGATGTGCACCACTGTCCAGATGCCTTTCACTGGATCTCTGGATAAGGCTGACAGGAATGATTGACAGAGCACTGAGTCATCCCAGGGGCTTCTAACACCCATGCCTACCCCAGAGTTCACTCTGATTAAATGACATGCATGAGATGCAGTTGATATGTGTGAACCTTTAACAAGGCTTGAGGGAGGAAAGCCTAACGGCTATAGAGAGTTCCAGGATCTTTGTTATTTTTTTTCTGCCTCTCTTAGGACAAAGAAAGAAGTATTGGTCCTGGAATGTTGGCCGAATTTAGGTGGGTGGAGGGAAAGTGGTCACCCCAGCCCAGATGTGCTACCTATACTATTTCTGCCCATGTGTGCCTGCTTACATGCATCCAAACATTAATAAAGCTCCATCATGAAAACTGTATATTGGTCTTAAAATCTACTCATGTTTCACAAGAAAATCCAATGTCATATTTGTCAATGAAAACAAAG